TCTGCAGTGTAACCTCCCAAGTTTTAGGAGCATACCTTAGATAAGAGTCCATCCACCTAATTCTCAGCATAGACTTCTAGATTTTAGGGGCACGCCCTAGGTGAAAGTCTACCCACTTAATTTTTAACATAGACTTCTAGATTTTTAGGAGCACACCTTAGGTGAGAGCCCATTCACCTAATCTTAAATGTAGGTTTCCTAGAACTTTAGGTGCACATCATAGGTGAGAGCCTATCCACCTAATCCTAAATGTAGGTTTCCTAGAATTTTAGGTGCACACCCTAAGTGAGAGCCCATCCACCTAGACCTCAGTGTAGGCTTCCTAGAGCTTAAGTACACACCCTAGGTGAGAGTCCATCCACCTAGTCCTAAGTGTAGGCTTCCTAGAGCTTAAATACACACCTTAAATGAACGTTGATTCATCTGATCCTCAAATGAATAATGAAACACGCCATTAGAGCCTGATTCACGAACTGATCATGACACTAGACACCAGGATGCACCGAGACGTGACTCATGCTTCCTTAATTAAATCAACAGTGAAATTCCCTCAATGACTTAACCTACAATAAAACCCAATGCATTGGGATTTGAGCTTGGATATTACACTCAAATTCTCCTGGCATCATGATACTATTTGCCGACTCTTGATGGGATCGTTGCCTCCGATACTCTTAGGTTTCATGTAGTCCTAGCGCGATCAATATAATTAACATGTGGACTATATTACTTTACAAAGTATTTATAAAAGTGAAATTTTTTTTCTTGTTAAAGTAAACTCTGTATGCATGAAAACTAAATTAAAAAAAATGAAAACTCATAAAAGATCACGATTAATCACTTAGATCAGTTAGGATTGCCCTCCGTAGATTATCAGGTTTTGGTAGCTCCTACTCAAATTTGAGAAGCACATAATCCAGCTCTGAGCCCCCACCTTTATCAATGTTTTACACTTAGTTCTGATCTTCCATATATGACTATGAGTTTTCTTTTACTTGCTCGTGTTTTGCTACGACTCATTTTTCTGAATTTTTCCATACTAGATGCTCCTGTTTAATTTTCTATAATTTATTTAAATTTTCTACAAATATAGTATACTTTATGATGTTAACCATGCAGCGGTAATAGAGGCCCAGGTACACATTTACTTTTTATGCATTGCAATTTTACTTATTTAGCTTACAACATTTTCTACCTGCATTTATTTACTTTACATGTAAAACTAAACCAAAACTGAGAATGACAAAAACATATTTTCAAAATCAAACTCACACTTTCGGAACAATAATAAAACATAATACACTCCTTTTGGGTTTACGAGGATTTCTCAGATGAGGTAACATATGGTTGCTAATGGGAGTTCTCCAGTTTAAATGAGCTTAACAACTCATTTAGGCTTAGTAAATTCAAGAAAAAATAGTAGTGCCGGAATGAGGGAACCATAGAATCCAGACCAATGTTGCTCTAATTAAATTAAAATCCCCCTTAAAAGAAAAAAAAAACACTACGTGATGACAGGAGCTTGGAACCAACTTTGTGGGTAGCAGGACGAGGAGCTTGGAGCGAGCAGCAAGAAG